CACTGTTTTGGCTCCATATTTAGTTCGCCCTTCAGAAACACACAATTTGTGCACAAACCACTGTTAACTTTGAGGAAGGACAAATATGTATGTTCTATACTGCAGTTGAAGTTCTCCATCCAGGTTTATTTCCAGGTTTCCTGTGGAATCAAACTAGTAATCTATCAGTCACTAACTTTCATGAGTTCTTAATGCTTTGGCAGTATTGCCTTTGTTACACTCATGCCAATAAAGCTAATTGAACTGAATTGAACTGAATACTGTCCTGACTGTATCCTAGCATCATATTCACATAAGATAGTGTTTTGTGTCACAAAGCAATCATGTGTGTTGTTTTTATTTCCCCCCAGAGTGTCTCTTCATCTTTCCCTGCCAGTGGAACTACAGGCCCGATCACTGTATGTACGGCAGTAACTGCAAAGGGGCTGAAGAGGAGGGCGTGTCCATCCTCCATGGCAACCGCGGCGTGTATCACGACGACAAGCAGCCAGCGTTCAAAGTAGTCTATGATGCAATACGTGACGTAAGTATCCACGTGGGATAGGAACGCTTTACTGACACAATATGTCATTATAAAAAATGTTAATCCCAATGCCCGATTCATTTCCATAAGCCATTAACGCCTAATAATGACACTGTTTGTATTTTACTGATATAAATGATTACATGAACATAAACAAACCTGTAATTGAGATTAAAGAGATTTATTCCCAGAGTGGCTGCAATATTAGAGCCGACATTTTGACACATTATAGCAGGAAAGCACAGGTGCAACTAATCACATTAACGATGGCTGCACTCCATTTAGGTGTGTCAGTTCCAGTGCCCTGGTGTCATCCATCGTTAATGTGATTAGTTACACCTGTGCTTTTCCTTCTACGGCACAACCAAATATCTGCTTAAAACCAGGTCTGCTGAGACCTATACAGCTAGTTTTCCTACGTAGTCCCTCAAACTCATTTAAACCATATATGGACAATGTGAATATACATAACACATAAAGGAACAGATTAGGGTTGGTTGGCGCAGCCGGTGCCCCCTCGAGATACCGAATAAAAACCAAACCGTCTTTATTAGTTTCTCCACTGTTCCCACAGTCACCAACTCTGGTGTCTAATCGAGTTAGATGTGAAAATATTCTGGCTCTACGCGCTGTCACTGCCTCTCTGATGCCTGACCTCCCTGTCGCTTCTCTACCGCTTCACGCATCTCCTCTCCTGGCCTGTCTCTTTCCTGTCCCTGCAGTGTCCTCACCTCCCCTGGAGTCCTGGGTTGGAGGCTCTGTGAATCACCTTGTTACTGCATTTCCTGTCGTCAAACTAGTCAAAATAAACCCTTTATTGACCGCAGTTAGATGTGAATAATTCTGGCTCTACAGCTGTTTTTCCTCTCACTCATTCTTTGGCTCAGTGTCATTCTACAGAGGCAGACCATTAAATCAGCAAAATGAAATGACAAAAATCAGCCACAAAAACCAGCCAAAAAAAGGCGATAATTGCCAATAGCCAATATATTTCGCCCATTATAGTCGCCCAACCCTAGAACATATACAGTCTGCACCATAAGAACATTTTGGCAAGTACACTTTAACTAACTAGAAATAAAAATTTAGATACATGGATTTCCAGCATCGTAAATCCCACACACACAAACTAAATGAGCTAACATTGGCTGGCACAACCAGTTAGTAACGTAAAAACAGCATGTTTTTTTTTAAATCATTGTTCCTTCAATAAAAAACAGCATCACTTTTGTGACGTTTAGCCTAGCTTAGCACAGAGACTGGAAGCAAGTTTAGTCCTCTCAAAAAAAACAAAACGAAAACAACCGAAAAGCTGTTTAATTAATCCTTTCATCTGACTCTAGGTATTGCTCAGAAGCATATTTTCCCATGTTCCCATTGTTGGACTGTTCCATTAATGACTTCCGCTCAGAAAAAGAGCATCTTTGTGTATTTTCTCTGTGATACAGATTCTCTCTTGCTTGCATTAAACAATCTGGGTCAGTTTTTAAATTTAGAATTTGTTTTCTGCGGCAGCAGAGTCAGTCCCCCCCTGCTCCACGGAGATAAGCCTCTTAAAGACAAGCTGGGTCGTAATTTATGATTAATACAAAACACCACCGTCCCACCCCAGCCCTGCCGACGCAATTTGTGAACACCATTTAGTCTGTGATATGTTCCATTAAAAAAACGATCAAACTGAAATAGCTTTTGGGATCAGAACTGACACAGGACAATGTCTCTGTTTCTGCAGTTCCCCTTTGAGGACAACATGTTCCAGTCGCTGTTCTACCCCATCCAGACCAAGTTCCTGGACACGGTCAACACCCTGTGTGGTCGGATTCCTCAAGTCTTCCTCAAGCAGATAGAAAAGACCATGAGGAAGGTTTTTGAGGACAAAGTGGTGCGCCACGTCAGACCCCACAAATAACTGATGGAGAAACTGACTCCCTGTTTTATCTGACAACACCGAGGACCAACTCGCTGTGGATTATGTGTCATACCAGCATCTCCGAGACTGAACTGTTGGCTCTGCGTTTGCAGTCTTTTCAGCACATAACACTTCCTGGAATGGTCCTATGAACATTATGAGCCTCTAGTGACGGGATGGGTAATAAGCCTATGTATACAGAGAAGCATACAGTGCTGGTCAGTGATGCCGTAGAATAGGTTTGCCTTATTGCCGTCTTAAACCTTTCACATCGCAGTCATGTACGGTGATGAAATGTTGGAAAACTAGAGTGAAAAAAGACTGCATGAATCTTTTTTTCTCAAGAACTATGAACATATCAGCTCTTCATCTCAAGTGTAGGTTAAAAGCAAAATTGAAGGCATGTTTGTGTCAAGTAAGCGTTTAACAAAAGTATCTACCTTCTGTATTTTTTCCTAGTGAACACAGTATACACTAGACTAAGTCAACTTTGGACTTTGGAAAGCTTTACTACTTGAAGTAGTAGATTCATGAACCACTCCTCTAAAATAACGTGAATGTTTTACCAGCAAATAACTTGAAATGTGAGCCAGTGTGAATGAGAAGAGTTGCCAGTTCTTGGTCTGTTGCCAAACGCCACTGACAGTATTAAGTACAGCACAACAGATGACATTTTATGTTACATACCGAATGTTAAAATGCACTTTCAGAATAATATTAGGATGGGATGGTTGTTTGTACACAACTTGTCCACATTAGATGCTACACTGTCCGAGTGAATCGAAACCAAAAGTGTTAGCATTTAAAAAAATAGTGACATACTACAGCTGATTATGTGCCATATAAATATTCATGTCTGCCATGTTTACTGCTACAAAATGAGTGGTATACACATGTGTGTTTGAGTCGGTATCTTACTTTGTAATATGGTCTGTTGTGAACACATGGGTCAAATGTCTTCGCAGGGTTACTTTCATTGTGGTGTAATGTTCTAAATGTATCGTTCAAACTGGAAACCGAAAATGGCTGTACAGTCAACATGTGTTTCTAAATAAATCAATGCAATGTACTGAGTCTCATTTACGTATATGTGCACTTTATGGGGATTTGAAATATACCAAAGCATTACAAATGGAGGAAATGCTTTCTTCTCAGAAATGTATATTAAAAATACAGTGAGGTAAGATACATGTTAGGTATAAGCTGTTGTAAAGGTAACTGCTGCATCACAACACTAAAGATTTGCCTTGACATAAGTATCTTTATTTATATTTAGTTTGGTTGGACTTAATGTGGTACTGTAACATAGTAATTTGCTAGTTGTTCTGAAACTAGATTTAAATTGGCCGTACCACTGTATGTGTTTTACTAGTGGCTTTGAATTTTATTTAAAGTCTTGTTTGATATTTTTGAGGGGAAAATGTAACAGGTCAGGAGTCCCCCAATTCTGTCCCATAAGGGGCTCAAACTAATTTAGTCCTTTAAACCCAGTTCCAGTTCCTGAATCTATGTTGGGGGCCTTGGGAACAGCAAACTGGCAAAACCAATAAGGCAGACTTAAGAGGAAGCCTGTAGCAATACAAAACAGTTAATGTATAAAAGTATACAAAGTGTATGAGCAGTATTCAATTCAAAACGTCACTTCACCTCTGTTCAAATCACAAATGTTTCTCTACCAATAATTTAGATAATAGACAACACTGGGCAATATTGTCACTGTTATTAGCTGCTGTTTGCTACTCTGTAAGGACAAACAGTTGTTCAGTGGCACAGTAATATTCAACAGGTTATAACTTTCTAATTTGTATCAAATAAGCGCATCTGTAGTGTTGATCTTGCCTGTGTTTTTTTAATGGAAAGCACATCTAAGATACAATCATATAATAAGTATGTAACTATTATCAGCAAAGTGTACTTAAAATATCAAAAGTATTCATAGGGCAGTAAAATGACCCCTGTCTGTGTTTTACTATTATATATAGTTTTTGAATTATTATTACTACTGTGTTGATACATATATTGCATTTGACTGTGTAGATATGCAATGCATCATATTCCTTTAGATCATTGTATGTTTGTAGCATCACTGTCAAGTTAAATCAGTAATTTAATTAATACATTACTTAAATTATTATTATTTACTAAATTCAGAATCACCAAATTTGGATTACATGCTTTTCACTGGACAGGAAGGGTATGGAAAATTGTAATCTGAAAAAAATAACTAGTAACTAAAGCTGGGCAGACAAATGTAGTGGAGTAAAAAGTACACTATTTGCCTCTGCTATGGTATTTGACTTGAGTGAATATATGGAGCACAGTAGTATACAGATATGTGCCAACATGCATATTTATATAGATATAAATCTATAGATATATAGATCAAAAACGCATCTCTTATACTTAATAATATCCTTAAATCCTGTAAAAAAAAAAAAAAAAAAGTATATATACGTCCTACAATTTTTATTTATTTATTATTTTATTTTAGATAGCAGGTAATAACTCCACATGGCTGTGTTGCTCTCCCCAGCGCAGTGCCTCGTCTGTTGCTGAGCAGGCAGTGACCTCACGGCGCCATATTAAAATGCTCCCTCCTCTTTGCCTGTGAGCTCTTACGTTAGCTTAGCAGCAGCAGCTAGCCGCCAGTCTGCTTTTTACATCCACAAGACTGACAGAGGGCAACGGCGTGATGGAAATTGACTCGCTTCAAGAGGCGCTCAGAGGTCACTTCAGTTTATTTCGATAGTTTTTGTGTTAATCGAGACCACCTGTTATCCGCCGTGCTTCCGAAACTGTTCTAGTGTAAATAATAAACGGATTGTAGCTGAAAGCTAATGTCGCTAGCTTGGTGCTACTCAGGACTAGCTAACGCTAACATTAACAAGCGGTTTCACGGAAATGGTTAGCTGTTTGTCCAATTCATTAGCCAGGCAAAAAGAGCGAACTAAAAGACGATGCCTTTCTTTGTCCGTATTTCCGAAATAACACGTATTTGCCCTCAGTATTTGACAACTTACTGAAATATGTTTTTGGCTGGGATTAAGTATCTGCTCAGTGTCACCACTGTTTGCCGGCTACGCTGTTGCGGCTAACTTAACATGCTAGCCAGTGCGCTAAACTTGAAGCTAGCGGTAGCTAACAAGCGAACTAGCTACATAGATAGCATCCGCTAGCCCGCTAACGCTACGTTGTGTAAATAGCTAGCGTTAATTAGACATTGTGATCGTCTTCAGCCAAAGTGTCGTCAGAGACCCGCTAACAGGCTTCATTTAGTTGGCTAAAGTAGGTAATCAGTGCAGGTAGCCACAACATCCAGCTCCATAGCAGAGTTGTCACAACTGTAGGTTCAGCTAGGTTAAATGATCAGGCTCGTACAGACGTAATGCTCATGTGTGTTTATTCATTGCCTCCTCAGATTTTGATAAGAAAGCAAAGAAGGAGGCATGTCCTCTTCTGGAGCAGTTTCTATGTCATATTGCCAAGACTGGAGAGACCATGTAAGTGAACATTGCAGGCCTGGAAGCCCCCCCCCCCCTTACTCTTTACAGCACACACTCAAACACATTTGACATTTCTTTTACCTTTTTTTTTTAAAACTGCCTATAGATGCATTCATACTTTGTTTTTAGTTTGCAGAATTAATTATTTTCTGAATTTGTTGTGCAGTTTTGATGTCAGTGCAACTGTATTTTCATGTTTCTTCTAAAATAAAATGTTATCATAGTCTATGTAGCATCCAGCCATAGTATTCTATTGTCCAAGTTTGTCTTGTGTTCTAACAAATGCCAAATGTTTTGACCCTTATTCTGTTCTTGACATTTTTCTCTAGGGTTCAATGGTCTCAATTTAAGAACTACTTCCTGTTTAAATTGGAGAAGGTGATGGATGACTTTAGAGCCTCTGCACCTGAACAAAGAGGTCCTGCAAATCCCAATGTGGAGTCAATTCCATTTGAAGATATGAAGGAGAGAATCCTGAAGATTGTGAATGGATACAATGGGTAGGCATACATTTCTCTATGACAGCGATCGTGGCAGTCTGACTGATGAGATTGAGAAGCCAGATTGAGCAAGTGTGGTTTCCTGTGACCAACATACGCCATGAATAGGTTTCCTCCAGCCCACCGCATTTGCTCCACTGATATCTGTAGTTTACATAATTATAACAGTGTTCGTCATAATGTTTTATGACTGTAAAATGCTATAGTGTTGCTGATTTGATCATTTTTGCACAGTAGTATCACATAGTCAAGGCTTTTCATTGTGTCCCAAATTGTATGACGTGGTCTACATAGAGATTTGAATTTATCATTCAAATCTATACGTGTTCGGTGTTGATGGAGTAATGTAAAGCTTTTTTTTGCCTGTGGGATAAACAGCAGGAATGTATCCAAAATCAGTTCCACTTTACTATGTAGTGTACTATATTTAACCCATTAAGTGTCCGGATTCTTATTGTGAATGTACATAGTGCCCTCAAAATCCTCTCGATCACTAACACTACTAACAATCCTACAATACAATGCGTTGATATTACATTGTCAAAAATCTCAGTTTACTTTAGCTGTAGCAAGTGAACGAGGAAGTGATTTTGGACACAGCCCAGGTTCCTGGAAATCTAAGCTAAATCTAAGCTAAACTTAAGGGGATTAATTTTTCTCACTGTCAGCAGTGTCGGATACAATTTTAGGATACAGACTAGAGGTTTCCATGGGTCCAAAATGTTGGTTTTTAAGGGCCGATCACCGGAAGCAGTATTGGCCGATACCAATCACTGGGTCTATTTAAAGCCTTACATTTATAGTGTATGCACATGCACATGCACACCTACACCTCTGTCTCACACACACCGGCTGCCCAACCTCGCTCGTATGTGTCTGCTCTGTTACTATGTTTTCACCCCAATTCCATTATGAGGATCATCCACCAAATAACCTCTCTCTCTCTCTCCTCTGCAAAATGCTAAGACGAGTCCATGACCGTTTATATACCGGCGGCCCGCCCGAGTAAATCTGTGTGTGTTAAAGACTGGAATAAAATAAATTCCTCAGCTGATCGACCGTTCTGATTTGTGCTTGTAAAGGTCGCCGATCAAACTAATTAGATCGTAATCAATCGTAGCACCCTTAGCATAAATTCACTTTTGAAATAAGGATATGACATCCAACCTGAGGACAGTCACACCCAGTCCAAAGTAGAGACAACCCAAAATGTGGTCAATTCAAAGCAACCCAAATAGCAAGAGAACACTAACACTAGCAGCGGCATATAAGCAGCGCTAAAGAGCAGCAAGTTCACCTTGTTTAAAAACACATTCAGTGATTATGACACATCACATGAGAAGCCTTGATTGTGTGTGCTCAGATCCGTCGCTGTATTAAGCCTAATTTATACTTCGGTTTTGAATCAAAGGCTATAAGTATTGTGTAGCATCGTGCCCGTAGCCTGATGTGCGCCTCCCCAGAAATGTAACTACACGTCATGGTGACGCAGACCGCAAAGACTATGATTGGTGCGCTTGGTGTGTGCATTGTTTGAGAATGGGAGATGACTCATGCAAAACCCAGATAAGTTAATAATGCTGTTTAAGTCCCTCTTCAAACACACACATACACATTCTCAGACAAGTGTGTCCTCTCACACAACACACAACAGGCACATGTGGGAAGCTGCCTCGCTGCATGACATGCTCTTATCTGTCCATTTCCCTTGTCCTTTCGTTTCACGGGGGGGCGGGGGGGTGGACTAGGAAAACACAGGACAGATTGAGGAGAGACGAGGGATAGTTTGAGTTTCAGTCGCCATTGTTTGAAGTACACCGCCAACTGGTGTTTTGGCGGTGTTACTTGCAGACACACCAGCGCACAAGTATAAGTGCTTTCAACGGCGTAGGTCACTTGCATAGGCAACTCTGTAGGCACGATGTAGAACCCAAGTACAACTATAAATCACCCTTTAGACGTGTTGATACACAGACCAGAGACCCACGGCAATAGAATGGGACCCAGTTACACTAAATATAGTTTGGACTGTTGTTTACTAGGATCGAGTGGACCTGTGAGAACCCATCTACATAGATGTTTTCAAAAGGTGGATGGACATTAATGTAATAAACAATTAAGCAATCAACAGTAAATTGCCCAGCAACAACTTAGTAATTGATAATGGTTTGATTATGATTCGATTGAGTTTTTTTGTTTTGTTTTAAGAACAAAAATGCCAAAAATTCCCTGGTTCCAGCTTTTCCAAAGTGAGGATTTGCTGCTTTTGATTAGACAAAACAAGAGATGTGAACATGACGCAATTAGCTCTGGGAACTCGTGATGGACTTTTTTCACTTTTTTCACTTTAACTTTTTTCTAGTGATAGCTGTTACTGGGATTTCCCGCCCAGTATCCTTGAGTACTCATCAAGTAAAGTGATAAAATGCAATGTTAGGGCCAGTTTTTAAAGAAGACCACCTGAATTTCAGTCTATTTTGAGTCTGTTGCTTTTTCCCCCTCAATTTTAGAATTCCATTTACAATCCAGCGCTTATGCGAGCTGCTCACAGAACCCAAAAGGAACTACACAGGAACAGATAAGTTTCTTCGGGGGGTGGAGAAGGTAAGTCCTAAGCAGCATAGCTGTTCTTTTTTTTTTTTTTTTCCCCCGTAAGTTGTTAACCTGCTGACACCTGCTTTCACTTATTTGGGAATTCTTGTTTCCCTCTAGAATGTGATGGTGGTGAGCTGTGTTCACCCAACCTCAGAGTAAGTGTCATGTCCAAATTAAACACTTTTTTGGAACAACTAAATAACGTAAGAAGTTTTGGGAATTATATTTTCCACTTAAGAGTTTTGTTTTTCTGAACTTGCTCATGCAGGAAAAACGGATGCAGTGCTGTCAATAGAATGAATGGAGTGATGCTTCCTGGGAACACATCTGCTTTTACAGAGAGGTTGTGTTGGGGACAGATTTAGTCCTTGATCCTACAATTTACATAATTAATTGCAACTGCTAATATTTTTTTTGTTATTATTAAAATGCTTTTTTTCCTCTTTTTGTCGGCTTTTTATAAGGAAAGTGAACGGTCCCGGAACTCCCCGACCACTGAACCGACCGAAGGTGTCTCTGGCCAACTCACTAGCAGCTAATGGCCTGCCAGACAGCACAGACAACAAAGACCTCAACACAGAGCAAGAAGACGACAAAGACTCCAGGTATGCCAGGAGCTTAAACACACCAGAAAATCCATTCTCCGTGTTCAACATAAACCCACTGGAATCACATCTGTATCTCCCATTTCTTCTTCGTTTGTCAGTGAGGTTTCAGCGTCGGGGGGTTCCTTCGGGAGCTCAGTGAAGAACAAACACCCAGACGCAGAAGAGGACATGGAGGCCGAGCAGCAGGAGGTGAAGAGACTTAAGTTCAGCAAGGACGAGGAGGAAGAGGAAGATGAGGAGGACGAAGAGGAAGAGCAGGAGGTGGACACACTGAGGCCTTTACATGCCACCTGCCTCTCAAAAGAGGCAGAAGCCATGGTCCAGGAGGAAGAGGAAGAGGAGAAGATCGGGTACAGCAAGGAGAATGAAGCCTCCAGCAGTGCAGCAGTCACTGAAGACCAAGGTAAGTTGGAAGTTGGTTTGTATGTGAAAGTTTAGAAAATGCTTAATTTTATCAAGGTTAGAAATATGCCTGAATTCGTAGGACAGTTCTTGATTTTCAACATTATCTGGTGTTTAATTGACACAATCATTTATATGAACCAAAAATATTGTTATATTTGAAATGAAACGATCCCTCTGTCATATATTTTTGGTGTCTCCTGGCCCGTTCCCTCGTCATTCATAGCTAGATAAATCCTATTGATCCCTTTACTCTGGAAATGATCAGCATTAAATTATGATCAAACCATAATCAGCGTTGATTCAACAGCTGGTAAAATAAAGTGGTAATATACATTGATTACTGAGTATAAAGTAGGGATGCACCATATGAATTTTTTTTAGCCAGTACCAATCTAACAATAATTCCCTGCTTCTCATGGCCAATACTTTATTCCAATATTTTACTCTAGCCAGTTTTCAGTTTCATTTTGTCGCTTTAGTGTTGTGGTGACATTCTTCTCAGTCCATATTTGGCTGTCGCTCTATCATTTAAACAGTGACTCTCAGCTGCGGTTTAGGGCGGGCTCACTCCAACCAGTGCTTTCAGTGTTTTAGCATACAACTGCATGATAAGGTTCAGTGTGACCTGCTCTGTCAAAACAAGCACAAGTTCAGCTATGACTGTGGGTTTCGCTCCTCATGTGGGACAATGTCAGCAAAGATGTTCTTAAGGCCCAGAGTCTTTCTCATGGCCTCTATGCCAGATGGAAATGGAGCGATGTTGGCACAGACATGATTTGAATTCACATTCATATGCTTTATCAGTTGCAGGTTGTATTGGTAGTGAAGCAGCAAACATTAGCTTCAGCCTTCATCATTATATTAAAGCCTGTGTGGGCCATCTTCATACTAATGTGTTAAGACCTGGGTTACTCATGAGTCTAAAATTATCCACGTGAAGTTCTCGACTTAAAATACTTATACTTGTTAATAATAAAAGGAAACATTGAATGCATTATGTAAGCTTGTACGAGCAGATGTTCCGTTGAATGACAAATGAAGTTCTGTGTGAAGGCAAGCCCACTAGTCACTCATCTGTCTTCAGCTGTCTGGAGCAAGAGGGTTAAAACAGAACCTAAAACATACTCGGCCATGTTTTTAACATGCGTTTGCACCTTTTCACCACAGAACCAACCAGTAGCACCCAGGCCGAGATGTGTGCAGGCTCAGGCCAGGATGCCGAGCAGGCTGAGAGGGAAGTGCCATGCGGATCCCAAGAGGAGGGTAGCGACATGGATCAGACGGAGCAGCAGGCACCCGCAGGCGTCCTGGAGAGCCCCGAGACCAGCAGGGACAGCGAGGAGAGCAACAGTGACCCAGTCAGCAGCAGCAGCAGCAGCAGCAGCAGCAGCAGCAGTAGCAGCAGTGGTAGCAGCTGTAGCATAGAGGAGAGTGCAGAAGCAGGCAGAGAAGATGTGGCTCTCGCTCCCTCCAGCAGTACGACTGAACCTCCTACAGAGGGCGCCATGGAAAGTGCCACCTTGAACACTGGGACCACTGATGAGCCCATGGAGCAGGACTAAACTGAAAGGCCCCCTTGCAGCCATGTGTGACCATAAACCAGCTTGTCCTTGAATCCAGCGTGACTGTCACTGGGAATGAGGATAACTGCACCTCGTACACAAGACGAACGCCTCGTCCCGCTTTTGGACACTCCTCCAAAATGGCTACCTGGCATTGATGTGGGCATACAAATACATTTTCATTTGAATTTATTATTTTTTTTAACTGGAATATTTTATTGATCTTCTTATCCTCTGTTTTTAAGTTTCCCGTAAAAGGGGTTAGTTTCAGCTGCCTTGAGTTTCTTGGCTGGATTATATCTTCTTTTTTTTTGTGTGTTCAGATGCTGGGGTGGTCTGGTTCTTTTCTTATGCCACTTCAACATTTGGACCTTGTGACAGGATTGGTAGTCTACGTTTTGTACCCTTTAAGCCCAGTGTACCACACTATCAGGGTCAGAACAGAGCCATACCAGCCCCTCATTTATGAAATGCTATGAGCTCCTGACAGCAGCTCATTTAAAAATATTCTTTAGTGGAGCACTGACCTGAACACCCCGCCACCACTTTGCTGTTACTCCACCAAGTACCACCAGGCTGTTGAGAACATGCATTGTTTTTAAAGTTATTTCTCCATCCTTGTGAGATGGGAGACTTTTTTCCATCGTGTCCTTATATTCTTTTAACCATATTTTTTTTTTTTCGCAATGATACACTACCAATCCCACTGAACAATACTATGACATGCTACCTTGTAAAAGCATATTCTGTAAAATGATATATTTTGGATGCATAAAACCACCATAATTTATATGATCATTTCAATTCAATGAGTTATTTTGGAGTATGTTTTTGTTTCGTCTGCCAGTTGTAGTTTCCAAAACCAGCTGTAAGTACAAAGACGACTTCCGCTTTCTTTGTATCGTGATGTCACCATGTTGTCTCACCGACCGATATCCAGAGCAGTTTCTGGTTCCAGTTCTACACCTGTTTCTGCAGCTGTACTTTTTGATATTTAGAATTTTAAATTTCTGTAAAGTAGATTTTTGTAGATTGTAATACAGTATGTGTTCACTGCCTTTGTGAAACCATATATTATTGTATAATTTCTGTGTATACTCTGAATGCTTTTGCTTTCAGTGCGGTATTCAGAAACAGCAATAAATGTTAACATTTTTATGCGTGGTGGTCTTGCTTATTTTCAAACAGTACCTAATTTATTCGCTTCACCGTGCATTACTAGTGTATGTAATGTCCCTCTTGAACATGCTGTTTACAGCTGGGTACAGTACTCGCAGTGGTACAACAGACAGCAGACATTTTCTACAGGTGTAATAACTTTAATGTATGGTATAGTTGATGCTGGCTCAGTGGAATGACAACAGGGACCGTTAGAGGAAGTTAGTTACACCTATGCTTTAACATTAACATTCTGGAGCTGCCTATTTCCTGGACTTCCTTTTTTGGAAATGAACTTCTAACCCCAGCTGTTCACCAGCAATGCAAACCTGTGCTGTGTCTGCATACCAAATGCCTATCGTATTTATACCAGTGTACTTAACTGTATTGTATTAATAGGAAGTGATGCCATAAGCGCGTGGACAGACATCAAACTGGCTTCAGTGACAACTGCAGATGAACAAATCTGTAAAACAAAGAATACTTTTTGTTTTCCAAGATTTTTTTTTCTGGAACTTCCTTTACTTCTTAATTATAGTTCATTGCAACCCGGGTGTATTTTGGTCTCTGGTCCTGAGCATTGATTTAACATCCCAGTCGGCTGGGGTGTCCTGATGAGCAGATAGCTCACCTGGTAGAGCTGGCACCCCACACACCAAGGCTGGCTCTTGGTAAAAGGCAATAAAAGCCCAAAAACATATTACACAAAAAGATCCCAGTAAGCCACACAATATGCACAATACTGGCTGGCAGCAACACATCAATTACCTAATAAATGCAGCCAATATTAATGTTAACACCTTTGTTTGACAAGTTGTTTAGCCATATTGATCTTCATGTAATATGTTAAGTGTTCCTATTAGCTCCGATGCCCATAAGCACAATAATTTCCCCAGGGAGCAATTGTGCCACAAAAATGTCTTGTGCAGTAAAATTCAGTGTACAACAGGCATTAATCAGTTCAGTCATTTTATTGTCCCAGGGAAGTACAGACAGAAACAGAAGTACAAAAATACAAAAAGAACAGAACAGAATAATACAGCAACTATCTCTAAGATGCTAAATTACATGTGCATATTAAGCACACAGGGTTATTGCACAGGCAAGTAGTAGTAGTACAGACCTGGGCTTGTGGAGAACCAGCCACCGTAACAATGTGATTCAGGTGGTTCTTATCCCTGTTGTTCAGGTTACCATACCAAGCAATCACAGATTCAATAAAAGAAAAGAACAAACCAACTTGTTGCTCCTTATTATTGCAAGTAATGAAGCCATTAGCACTTCTGTTGTCTCATCCCTGTTTATCATTTCAAAGAGCAAAAGAAGAATGATTTGAAAAATGATTAAAGCGGCCCGTTTGACTTGATTTTGATAGGACAAGATCAAACTTCTTCCGTAGAGGCTCACCATCTGTTATGAGCCTCTGGTCAGGATCAGAACATGCAGAAAGCGACCTTTGCCCGTTAAATAAAGAGGACTTTTCATGTCAATTTGTACAGCAAGGCTCTAAGATGTGGTCCTATGGGTCAATTCACAATATGGTCTGCCACTGCTGTCTTCTGACTGCTGAAATTTGCCCAGGCTCCCAGAGGAAATAAAAACTGGCCTGCATTCATACATGCGGCACTGTTTAAACAGGGGGCTTTTAAGATGGGTCCCCAGGGAAACAAATGCCAGGTCAGGAGGGATATTAAAAGCAGCTTGACACCAGATGATTTTTAATCTGACCTTGGCAGATGATATAGGCAGAGGAGGACAGTGGCTTGACAGTTTCACAGACTTTTTAAATCAGCAGCCTGAAAAAAATGGCCAGTCGACTATACACTTGTTCCACAGTTTATACTGTATGTGTCATTACTGCACTTGGAACTTTTGCTTTGGGCTATGTTATCTTTGCTGGTGTGTCTGCACCCGTGGGGAGCAGGACTCTATTAGCAGGGGATAATATTGTAGAAAGGTAAATACACCAGCCTGTTGTCAGATTTGCAATGAGAAAAGCTGCCTCTGGCCTCCCTGAAAAAAAATCAAATTAAATTGAAAATGAAAGAAAACACACTGCAGGGCTGTATCTTGAAAGTGCAGCGGCATCACTCTGCTTTGCATTCCATTTCTTTCTGAATAGTTCAAAAGACATGTATGAAACTATGGATGTTCGTGGTTTTACTCACACATTTATCTTGAAAACCTTGCAGTCCAAGTCCTATAAACTGTCTCACTGTAAGCTGGTACGGATATATAATTATAATAGTGATAGCTGTGGTGAGTAGAGTGAAGGCTTTGATCAAACAAGTCAGTAAAATAACTATGAAATTAAACTCTTTCTCGTTTCGCTTCTGGAGCCCCCCCTCTCGGAACCCTGGGGACCTTTGGACTACACTTAAACCCCCCTAGGCTGCTGCATGAGGTTATATTTGAGTTTCATGCTTCAACGCCTGCCTCAGGAGAAGAACTTTTAAATGGATCTGTGGTCAATAGCAGTGCGTACCAAATCAGACTAATTGTCAGTGCTGGACACACTTGGAGCCATTGACAGGATTGAAGAAGGAAATGCATCAAGTCTGAAGAAAGTCATTATAAAAAAGGAGTTGCTCTTTTAGTTTGAGTGCATCATCTTGTGAGATTTGAGCATATTAAGTGGTTCAACAGGATTGAAAGTTCACAGACGGAGCTGCAGCAGCACCTTTCCCACCAGTCATGTCCCCTTTCTCTTTCTCTTTCTCTCTCTCTCTCTCTCTCTCTCTCGCTCTACGCGCAATCTCTGTGTAATCCAATAGAGGGTACTGTTTAGTTTCCAAGCCAGACCAAACATGTTCAGCCTGCCCTGGAATCAGAATGCACACCCAGTCCTCCTGCTGCTGGTGAATGCAGCCTGTGACACATTCAGTATGCCTCCTTACACACTGCCTTGAAATGCCCAAAAAAAGCACACACAGACATCATGACCTCCTTCAGCGCTGTCCGCAGGATGAACCCTCGCCTGTCTAATTTGGTTTCTCTGGGAGAGCGTGATGCCTGCCAGTGCTCGTGAATGAATATGAGATGACTTAACCATCTTTTTTCTTTATTGTACCAATGCCAGTTAGACTGCTAGTTTCGGCTCCTGCTTGGTGTAACCTGTGACACATTTATCACGCCTCTTCAAAAACCACAGACATCAGATCAACTCCCACGTGTCTCATTTTCGAGGGAGAAAAAAAAAGCTTTTATCAGAACGATCTTGAATAAATACTAGCTTCTCATCTCGTGGTGAATTCCAACTCATGCAATATTTGTCAAGAAAACAAACAAGGTGAGACACTGAAATTCTCTGCGTATTATGTTTGTTAGTGTCTCTGTTGGAGTCAGGTCCGGGATCAGGTGGGGGTCGGTGTCAATGTCAGGTGACATTATTTGGCACACAGCAGGGTCAAACATTCTGAGCTGCTCTGACAAAATGGCAAACACCAGCAGTGGGTGGGTTGCTGTTGAGTGTGTTGACAGACTCAAACATTTATTTTCCCCCACTTCAAAAATACTAAGCGCACCTAAAAATGGAGTCAGCAGGGAGGCTCCACCGCAGGAGGCCTCCAGACAGACTTCACAAGTGGGGACAGTGAGAAATACTGTCTAATGTTCTGAAATGGTCAGTGGAAAAAAAGGGAGAGATTCAATTATTCTGATGTCCAGGCTCCAGTGGGTTTGAGGAGTGGATTTTTTATGCGGCTCAGTGTGGGGGCTGCACGCTCAGCGGGCACCAATCTCAGGTGGCTGCTGTTTGAATTTCCACTCCTCTGTCAGAATGGCATCATCACACCGAAATAGAGACAGTAAGTGGAAGACTGCTTTGATTCAGCTTGGGATACTTGTGCTGTTGCCTATCAGCGGCCTCTCTAAGATTGGCCTCAAGTGCCGTCAAAAATGCCAAACTGGGAAATTTGAAGACATCACAGATTACATAAAGTGGTGACATTTATGGTTGGCACTGAACTGCTGGCTGTAAGCCTGGCTGGGGAAGTCAGGTCAGTGTTAAAAAATCTGTATACAAAGAAGTGAGTGTGAGTTTGACTCCTACAGGAGCTCTTAACCTTATGTTTCCAAGACATGCATCTTGGTCTCACAGACACAAAAATACTATGCAGCAAATAGGAACTAGCAGCCTCATTAACTTTTGATTGAACCCTCAGACCAACCAGAAGGCCCGATGACCTGAGATGTCTCATAAGCAGGTCAGAGAGGTCCTGTGGAGCCTCGTCATGTAGGCTTTATAGACAGAATGAATTCTGAAACCACATGGAAGGCAAAGCACAGATGGCAGAAAGTATGATCAGATCAAATTAGCTCTATGTTGTCAGGACTCTGTCTGAATTATTATACTATTATAATATTATATTTATAGCCTTTTAACCCTAGATCATCAATGCTGCACTGTATACTATGTCTGGTTCCGATTGCTGTGAAATTGTATACAGATACTCATTGTGCAGAGAGGATGAATCCTGACTGACTTTAGTAATTTACTGACTTTTCTTGTAGCGCCACCAGCGGGTAACATTTTTCACTGTTCCAGGGTAATATCTTATATCTTATATATGGGTTATGTCAGCTGACATCCACAAAATCTTCTAGATATTCATGGTTCCTAGAATGTATCCCAAAGACTTTTGTGGTCCCCTGAACTTTCTTCTCATTTAAAACCATCATAGCTATATATTTTCTATATGTTCCTGGTGCACTTCATTTTTGACTCTACCTATGTTACCTTTTTTTTTTTTTTTTAGTCAAGTAGAGAGGAACGGATTGTCGCCTATGTGTGATTTTAAAAGCCATATTTCTCTTCTGATGTGCTCTATCGCTGGCTGGAAGACTACAATCGTATCCAAGTGGAAGTCGATGCCGAAGGCACTGGGGCTGTCAACAAACGCCATAACTGAGGGACAGCGGGAAGTGACCGAAGGAACTAAAGAAGGCAACCAAAGAAGTGCGAGGAGCTGAAAAGGGAGCTTTTGGCTCTGGCTGAGAGG